GGCCCTCGCTAGGCCTCAGGTCTCATGAGGACTCAGGTCGCAGGGCCTGGGGGAGCGAGCCCTCCGCTGCGGCCACGGTGACGCTGCCCACAGGCCCTCACTGTGCACCCCTCCTGCCCCATTTGGGGTCTGGAGCTGAGTTCACGGCCTGAGGAGGGACCGGCCTTCACCTCGAGGAGGTAAGGAGTTTGGGCAGGGCATCTTGGAGGTCACGTCCAGAAGGGGAAGAAGTGGAGAGATGTGCTCGGATATGACCACTGGCCCAGAGGCGCTCAGGCGGCCGCACGGCCACTGGAGGGTGTGGACGGGGAGGCAGCTTGGGGGGGGCGGGGGGCAGAGGCAGCCGGTGGTGTCTGGCTGGGGTGTCTGGCTGGGGCTGCTGCGAGCCAGGCTGAGGTTCTGGGCTTTCCCTAGGACAGAGCTGAGAAGGGACCTCTGGTGGCCCAAAGGCTGGGGAGCCCCCTCCCCCCGACACCTGTCAGTCCCTTCAGGACAGAGCACCCCTCTCTCCACGCTGTTCCCAGGACCCCTCAGCACCCAGAGCACAGCCTGGCACGTGGTGGAGGGACAAAGGGGTGCTCGGGGTCCCTCCCCGGTGTGATTGGCCAGAGGGTCCCAGAGGGCCCTCCCCTGGTGCCCTGCCCAGGGTGGAGCAGGCCCAGAAAGAGGCGTCCCTCAGGCCAAAGGCCACGGGCCCAGCAAAGCCCCAGGGCCTCTCTGACCCCTGACATGCTCAGCATCTACTGGCCCAGGGGCCTGGCAGGCCTGGTGCGGACAGGGCTCCCAAGTCAGCTGGGCAGGTGCAGGGCCTGAAGGTCCTGCAGGGCACCCAGGGCATGACTCTTGGTCTCTGGTTTCTAGTGGGTGCAGGTCAGGGTCTAGGGACACCAGGGGGACAGCCAAGGCCCGGGAGTGGGGGCTGCTGGGTGAGTCAGGGGACAAGATGGGGTTGGAAGCCATGCCTCTCTCTTGACCTCCCCTTGGACCCTGGGTGGCCATCCCTCCCACACTTACTAGTCCAGCACCCACCACGTGCTCTGGGCGCTGGGAAGTCACGGGACCCACACGGGACTCCCTCCCTCATGGAGGTCACCCTCCAGACCAGCACCAGACACCACGGGGCTCCTGGAAGGAGACAAGGGCTTTGGGGGGAGATGGGGCCGGAAAGGGCCACAGACAACAGGAAGGAGGGTGTTGCAACGGAGAAGCCTCATGTGAGCAGCCTGAGGAGGTGATGGGTCAACGCTTGAGGCCAGAGATGGGGCCCGCCTGGTGGGGAGCAGTCAGCTGAGCAGAGCACAGGCAGAGGGGAAGAGCTGCACGTAGAGGTCAGAGAGGAGCCCGCGCAGGGCCCTGGCTTGTCTCTGAGAGGGAGGGGCCTGGGCAGCATCCCTGGACGCTGTGCTGGATGCAGGAGGGAGCGGGAGCGGGCTGGGGGCCTGGCTGAGGCTGGGCCGGGCGAGGAGGCTGTGTGGAGCGGTCAGCTTTGGGGCACACTTTGGGGGCAGGGCCAGTAGGGTTTCTGACAACGGGACAAATGGAGGGCGATGGAACGGTCCATACTCAGTAGGGGTCTGTCCAGGATAGCCAGATGATGGCGTGCCATTGGCTGAGACGGACGCACGGGAGGAGGGCCCGGGAGGAGGCCCAGCTCAGTTTTGGGGTGTGCCGTGGAGACAACACCCAGGGGACCTGCCGTGGCTGTTGAGGGGCAGCAGCTGTTGGAACTGGGAGTGGAGGGGACAGAGCCAAGCGGAGATGGCAGGACAGGGCCCCTCGATGCCCAGGGCCACCGTCTCTCTGCCTTGGGGACACTAGGCCACGCTCCTCGGTGCCCTGGGGTTTCCACTCCCAGCAGCGCGTGGGCTCCAGGGCAGACCCAGCCCTCTCGTCAGGAGGTGCCACTCCATGCACTTTGACCCCGGAGCACGGGGCAAGGGACTGCACCCCCTCAGCACACTGAGGAACCCCAACCTTCAAGGACCCCCCAGGACTCAAGTCTGATGTGCCCTCCTCAACGGTCAGTGGTAGCTCAGTGATGAGACTGGACGCCACCCCGGGCTGGAGCAGAGACTAGAGGAGGCCCAGGGCCTCCCAACCGCAGGAGGTGAAAGATGGTGGGGGACGGGCAGAGGGGACGGAGCGGAGCTGCAGGGACCAGAGGCCAGGAGAGGGGTGCCGGGGCCCCGCGAAGAGCGGCTCAAGGAGGGGTGGCCGCTGGGACACGGGGTGCCGGGAGCAGTCCCTGGAAAGGGGGCTCTGCACTGACCCCGGCGTGTACCGTCTGACCCTGCGGAGAGCACCCCGGGCCTGGCGGGGTGAAGTGTAGGAGAGCGGCTCCTAGAGGGGCCAGTAGTGTGGACAGTGGGGAGCTGGTGCGCGGACAGATAGCAGACGGGGAGGTGGAGCGGAAGAGTCTCCCCCTAACCCGAGGGGGGTCTCGGTACGCGTGCAGCTGGATGGAAGCGTCTCGTCCTCCCTCGCACGCACACGCTCAGGCCCCGGCGGGTTAGAGAGAGAAGTGCCAACGGAGACTCCTTGAGGGGAAAGGGCCCAGGGGACCTTCTGCGCGGTCTCGCCATCCGCACAGATGTGCTGTTTAAACAGGAAGCCACGAGGGCGCCAGGTGCCTGTGAAAACGACAGACAAGCCCCGTGGGGAACGAGGGTCTGATCGGGACTTGTCGGCAACGTGCCAGGCCTCCTAGAACTCAGCCATGAGGACGTGCACAACCGACCGCAATGGGCAAAGACCTCAGTCCACAGGCCAGGGACGAGGAGGTGCCAGGGACGTGGCCTGTGAAGAGACACCTGTGTCGTGTGGGAGTGCGCCTCGAAACAAGTGAGACCTCGCTGCACACCCACCAGCAGGCCGGGATCCAAACAGAACACGCGCCGGCGGGCGGAGCGCAGGAATCGCACTCACGGCTTGAGGAGGGGGGCAGGGGGGCGCTTTGGAAGGCGGGCTGGTGGTTTCTTACAAAACCAGAGTCTCACCACAGGATCCACTAACCACGCTCCTTGAAAGCTTAGTCCAGCCCGGCCTGCGTGGCTCAGTGGTTGAGCATCAACCTATGAACCAGGAGGTCAGGGCACAAGCCCGGGTTGTGGGCTCGATCCCCAGTGTGGGGCGTGCAGGAGGCAGCCGATGGATGATTCTCTCTCATCATCGATGTTTCTCTCTCCCTCCCTCTCCCTTCCTCTCTGACATCCATAAAAATGTATTTAAAAAAGAAAGAACACGTAGATCCACCTGGAAACCTGCACGTGAGTGTTCACCGCAGCTTAGTTGTCATCGCCGGCACTTGGAGGCAGCCGCGCTGTCCTGCCGCACGTGATGGACAGACAGTGGTCCACCCGGCGGTGGGGTCTCCTCAGTGATACGGAGAGATGAGCTCTCGGGTCCCGAAAGGACCGGAGGAAACGGAGATGCATCTTCATACGCGAAAGAAAACACTGCAAAGGTCACCTCGTGTGTGGTTCCGCCTGTGGCTCCGGAAACGGCAGGGTGTGGGGACGTGACAGCTCTGGTTGTGGGGCGGGGGGCGGGGGGCGGGCAGGTGGTGCACAGAGCATTTCTAGGGCAGTGAGACAGCTCTGTGTGCGGCTAGAATGAGGGACACGTGATGTTAGAAATTCCCCGAAACCCACAAGACGCCCCTGAAGAAAGAACTCCGGGAAACGTGCACTTTGGTTGGTAACGAGATCGATACTGGCTCGTCGGTTGTAACAAATGGGCCACAGCCAGGAGATGCTGATAGCAGGAGACCCTGCGTGTGTGCGGGTGGGTTCAGGGGACCAGTGCTGTCCGCCAACTTCTCTGCACCTGTAAACTGTGAAGTCTGCCACGAGGGCGCCAGGTGCCTGTGAAAACGACAGACAAGCCCCGTGGGGAACGAGGGTCTGATCGGGACTTGTCGGCAACGTGCCAGGCCTCCTAGAACTCAGCCATGAGGACGTGCACAACCGACCGCAATGGGCAAAGACCTCAGTCCACAGGCCAGGGACGAGGAGGTGCCAGGGACGTGGCCTGTGAAGAGACACCTGTGTCGTGTGGGAGTGCGCCTCGAAACAAGTGAGACCTCGCTGCACACCCACCAGCAGGCCGGGATCCAAACAGAACACGCGCCGGCGGGCGGAGCGCAGGAATCGCACTCACGGCTTGAGGAGGGGGGCAGGGGGGCGCTTTGGAAGGCGGGCTGGTGGTTTCTTACAAAACCAGAGTCTCACCACAGGATCCACTAACCACGCTCCTTGAAAGCTTAGTCCAGCCCGGCCTGCGTGGCTCAGTGGTTGAGCATCAACCTATGAACCAGGAGGTCAGGGCACAAGCCCGGGTTGTGGGCTCGATCCCCAGTGTGGGGCGTGCAGGAGGCAGCCGATGGATGATTCTCTCTCATCATCGATGTTTCTCTCTCCCTCCCTCTCCCTTCCTCTCTGACATCCATAAAAATGTATTTAAAAAAGAAAGAACACGTAGATCCACCTGGAAACCTGCACGTGAGTGTTCACCGCAGCTTAGTTGTCATCGCCGGCACTTGGAGGCAGCCGCGCTGTCCTGCCGCACGTGATGGACAGACAGTGGTCCACCCGGCGGTGGGGTCTCCTCAGTGATACGGAGAGATGAGCTCTCGGGTCCCGAAAGGACCGGAGGAAACGGAGATGCATCTTCATACGCGAAAGAAAACACTGCAAAGGTCACCTCGTGTGTGGTTCCGCCTGTGGCTCCGGAAACGGCAGGGTGTGGGGACGTGACAGCTCTGGTTGTGGGGCGGGGG